AAAAAAAAAAAATAAAAAAAACTAACTAAAAAAAAAAAATAAAAAAAAATAAAAAAAAAAAAAAAATCTAGGAAAATTCATAATGCTTAATTGCCATGATTTTATTTAATTTTTTTTTTTTAATTTTTCAGAAATTTGCAAACTGGGATTGAAGCATAAAACCCTTAAATGTTGATTGACAATAAAAAAGGGGAAAGTTGTGGAAATATAGAAAATCATTGAGAGAATAAAGCAACTTGTTTGTTAAGTGTGCTTTACTCTTCCTTAAGTAGTAATCTTTTTGACCTTACTATGTTTTTATTTTTACCCGTCGATTGGAAGAGAAAAATGTCTTAAGAGTTAGAAAACAATTTTAAGGATCTCTTGACTTACAAGTTTTAAGAAAATAAAATACACAATAGCATTATGTTGTACCATCTTTAAAGATATTACGGTTTGTGTGTGTGTGTGTGTTAGGTGAGTATGTACGTGAGATGTTGAAGATGATTGGGTTGAACGTTAATAAAGTAATTGGAAAAGGGTCCAAAAATATGCAATATAACCACTTGTAAGGGGCTCAACCATATTAAGTGAGGGTGATCGATTTTACTTTGATACTTCCGTTGACATGATTTTTGAAAAGTTAAAAGTTACTTTTGAGATTAAGAAATTACTTTTAAATTTGGATAGTTTTATAAAAATATTTGTCTGACTAAATTAACTTTTAGATAAAGTTGATTTGGAATCGTTTTTTCAGAGAACCCTTCTATAAGAAACATTTACTCTACCAAACGAGGCCACACCACTATAACAATAAAGGAAGATGATACTAAGTTGGTTTTGTTATATGCAGATGATATCTTCCTTGCATTTTATTCTTGGATTCGCTTTGTAGTGCTCTATATTAGCAAATTTTCAAGTTCTTCTATTCGACGTTCGAACTCTATTAGTGTTGCTTATCAAGAGCACTAGATTCTTTACGAGGTATGCAATTAATCATATTGGAATCTTTTAATTGACGACTCTTTTTCCTTTTTTTTCCTAGCTAAACAAATTTTGAAACATTGGCTAGTATTTATTAACTAGACCCGTAGGTAATCATATTCTAAAAGCACATAAAAAGTCACCTGACCATGTTAAATGCACGAGCACGACATAACATATCACATAGGTACGACATTAAAAATTGCCAACTTTTGTAAGTTGGGTTGGACAATTATGTTCAAACATCTCAAATAACACGTTAGTTGACCAATTGAATAAAAATATAGATAGGTCTAAATCAGCCAGGGAATGGAATCAAGGTTTTCTTTAATTTTTGGTGGGTGGGGGAATGTGGCTGTGAAATTGGAAGGAATATTGTAAGAATCGGATCAAACTGATCGATTTGATTGAAAATTTAAGAATCAGTTTGAAATTTGATCTCATTAAATATCGATTCATTTATTTTTTGATTGTCGATTCAATTTTCAATTCGATTGACTCTAGGCTTTTTACTTTCATGAATCGAGGTTAGAGTTGATTTTTAAAACATTAATGAGAAGTGGAAGTAGGTAGGCCTTGTATAAAATCATACTCCCCAACCCATTTTTTTTTTTTCATTTGTCCTTCTTTATAGACAACTTTCTTTGTTGGGAGAATAATTTCTCAGGGATTGTTCTCTTTGTTTTTCAGTTTTGTGTTTTTTGTTTTGAATTCATTGTCGATTTTGTGTTTTGAGTGTTCATTTTGAGATTATT